TTTTTTTAGCAGCAAGTTTTTAAATGTGTTTTTTTGAATAATTATCTTCTGCTCACCAAGCCTGCATTTATTTGATCCAAAATTATTTGATGCTAAAAATTCAACTTTGAAATCATTAAAACAAGTTTTTTTTATTGATCAGGTTTCAATTTCCATACTGTTACATATTCATATTTGATTATTCTATTGTCAACATTGAATTTTAAAGTGATGTGATTCAAGACTTACTACTTTGGAAAGACCATCATATCAGGCTCAAGCCAGCTTTAGTTAGTTTTACATTTACCTTTTACCTTTAAAACATTGGTAACCTAAATCAGTTTGTTACATTGCCTGACTCTTGGTGATAATACAGTCTACTAGGGCTGCCCCCTAATAGTCGACTAACCATTAGTCGACCAGAAGAGGCTTGGTCGACCAAAATTTTATTAGTCGCTTAGTCACAGAAAAACAATAAATAAATAAAAATCCACATTGGTGAAGTCACGCAGATCGTTAGCGGCTGATCTATGTGGTAGTACATCGGGCAGGACATCCAAACGCTCGCCTATCATTCATTGCTCTCAAATATGACTTATCATCTGAAATATGTTAGTAGCATCAACTTTACATGGCTGCTCAATCTGATGTTAATCTAGAAAAATGTGCATTATTCAAGTGTTTGTGTGGCGTGTGTAAGCTGAACAGTAGCACGCTCACTGCAGGACAGATGGAGGCGCCGGTACGGTCACTTGCTCTTAAAATACTATCATACAGATAAGAGTAATACATCTTTCAAATCTGTAAAGTCTATGTTTATTTGTGTGCACTCACAATAACAACAAAACATGGCACTTTTGTAAAATAATGAAAGCAAACAGGATGCGCTTTCTGGCGTCTCGACCTCTGTGAATTTGAGCGTGAAACTCTGAAGCTCCGTGTATGCTTGCCTTACAGACATTAAAATATATATCTGTAGAGAGTGAAATGTCTACTTTCAAATAAACCAATTCAAATGGAAAACAAATATTCTCAGATTATGTAATCCCTATGAAACGTGCATACAGGCACATCACTACTGTGGAGATGATAAATCAGTGTCGCCGACTTCATCTCTTAAACTGAAAACAAAAAATCGCTAGTTTATCAGTGAATTATTAAAATGTTAAAGGGGTCATATGATGCGATTTCAAATTTTCTTTTCTCTTTGGTCGGCCTCTGCATACTCTAGGCCGCGGCTCACTCTAGGCTTCCGGCCTCCACTCACTCAATGTGTGATGCTTTTTTGTTGTGAAAGCGAAACTACTTTGTTTGGTCTTCCAAAAGAGGACACGACTAGAAATCAGTGGTTAAGTTGTATTTACAACACTGTTCCAGAACAGTTCAACCCAAATATTCAGAGGTGTCCAGCACATTTTATGGAGGACTGTTTCCTGATCCTGGTAGAGTAGACTAAAATGCCGACTGTTCTGACTCACAGACTGTAAGTACGTTTTTCATATTTAAAGAATTTGTCACTGACGATTCAAACGCAAGTTTTTTGAGCAGTGTAGAGTAGCACTTGTTGTTTGTAATTTCTCCGATCACAAATGCAGACATGGTTTTATGTTACGCTCCAGCCGGACAGGGCATCACAATATGGTAAGGGCGTAACATTTCCGTCACACGCTTGAGGTATTCGGCCAATCACAACGCACTGGATAGCTGGCCAATCACAGCACACCTCGCTTTTCAGACCGATGAGCTTTGTAAAAATCGACGCCTTTCAGAAAAGCAGGGCATAGAGGAGAAACAGTAATGTACAGTATGTGGAAAATAATGTGTTTTTTTAACCTTAAACTGCATAAACACATTTCATTACACCAAATACACAAAATAATGTTCTTTTTAGCAGCATCATATGACCCCTTTAATGTAGCCTGCTTACTGTTTTTCCCTGACGCATTCATAAACATTACTTCTGCCGGTGTGCTGTGGCAAGCTTTATGTGTGCGCTTGAGCGCTTATTAGGCAATGTAGGCGATTAAAGGCGCATTATTATGGTTTAAATAGTTTATTAATAAACGTGTGATTAGTCGACTAATGCTTCAAATGGACGACTACTAGTCGACCAGAAAAATCTTTATTCGAGGGCAGCCCTACAGTCTACTAACACAGTAGTATATGGATTCAGTTGTCACTTTACCGCTGTCATTTCATCTCTGTCTGGGTTTTTGGGGGTGTGATGCTGTACCCCAAAACATCAGAGGTGCTTATTGTAAGTTTAAATCCTTTAAAATGTTTGACCATGAAGCTGTGAGTAATATCTGTATTTCTTCCAGGGCAGCACAACTATCTCTGCGCAGGAAGGAACGATTGCATCATCGACAAGATAAGACGGAAAAACTGCCCAGCATGCCGCTTTCGCAAGTGTCTTCAGGCCGGCATGAACTTGGAAGGTGAGGATGCTCAGATAGATTGACGAGCGGTTTACTTGAGTGATTTATATGACCTTTATGTGCCACTGCACAGGGTCGCAAAACAGTGAGCAATTAAGAATGACAATCGAGAGGAATTCGACTTTCCAAAAATAATGTTTGTGCAGATTTTTCCTTCATGCACAAAAGATGAAGGAAGGAATAAAATGGCCAAAAGCTTTAAGAACCTGCAGCAGTGCCTCAATGACAGCGTGCTGATGTACTTCACAGTTATTGGACAGAATTTGTCCATCTCTGTGGAAGGCTTTAGAATTGTCTCACCCGATTGTGGATGATTTATTTGCGTGAATCACCAAACGGGGGAAAAAAAGACCTTGATGCAGTAGCTGCAAACTAAATCTGGGGATCTACCAGAGAGGCTTTTAGTTGCCATAGAAACATTTATGGCAGAACATTTTAAAAGTGGGAGAGAATGACATTGGGTTTGATGGTAAGCTCTCAATCAGCAGAACAGCGGAGTGATTTTACGAGAGAAAACTTTCAAGAGGCATTTAGCCATCAAAACTCATGGCATGCATGTCTCTGTAAGCTCCATTTGTACAGTAACTGTGCTGAAATTCAAAAGATTCCTACAAGAAAGGACACTGGAATATTCCTTTATTTAAGATTTAAAATCAGTGTGAGCGGGAATATACCTTATACATGGCATGCTCAAATTTATGACATATATGATGTCATAATCATATTGAGGACGTAATAGCAACCCTACTTAGTACTTGCTTGAATTCACTGTAAATGACTAGAAAGCAGTTCTTATCCCATGGACGTTACTTCACTTGAAAGCATTGCCTTTAATATCCACCTTTTTCCTGAGTAACCGATGAGTGACGCCATGATGGATTCTAACTTCCGTTTGGGTGCTCTTGTGCTCCAGTCTCCATAGAAATCCATGTTAAAACGCTGTAAAACAGATCGATTGAATTGAAACTTATCCAATTGAACTAAATATAAATATGTGCAGAGGGTTAAGCTGTGCTGTTGTTGGCTGCCACAGTAACGGCAATAAGCTATTCCTGGAAAGTACTTTAAAGTTTCTCCGCGTTTTCCACATTGCGGAACTCATAGGGCCCTGGGTAAAACAAGGCACAGGTGTGACTAAATAAATAAACTAATGAGTAAATATAGTAACCAAAAAGAAGTGGGAACAAGGAACAATAAAACAGGAACAACGTGGTACAAAATAAAAGTTCAAGAAACAGAACATAACCATAACAATATCGTCGTATTATAATATTATAAATCTTTACCCTGGAAATTATGTTTAAAAACCTTGAAAAAAGGTGCCGTACAGAATGGTTGGTCCTTTAGCGGGCGAGGCATATAAATGCAGGTTACTTGCAAAGGAACATTGTTAGGCACTGCTGACATTTGACAACATTCACCAGATATCTCATCTGTTGAGCAAAAAAACTATCTCAGAATCAGAATCAGAAAGAGCTTTATTGCCAAGTATGTTTGCACATACAAGGAATTTGTTATAGTGTCACAAGCTTCCAGTACACGGAGACAACAACAACACACAGATAATAAAAATAAGATGTCAACAAAATGTACTTAAATTTAGGATGTACCTAAATCCTAGTACATCCCTACAACTTTTTTATTTTATTCTATTCCTATTCTATCTATAGCACACCTGTACATACAATTTAGCTATAGATAGAATAGGAATAGAATAAAATAAAATACATTTGTAGGGATGTACTAGGATTTAGGGTGATAAATAAGTATAAGGTTATTGCACATACTTTAATCTCTGGGCCATATTTAAATCCTTTAAATCGTCTGAGCTGTTGAAAAACAGTCAAAAAAAAGTAAACTCTTATCTCTTTTAACAACTCCGCTCAGATGGTTGCAATTCTGAATAATCCATTACTGATTTAGCTCATTAGTTATGGCTACAAGCCTTCTCTTTATTTACAGATGTGATGTAACAATGCAAAAATTAATTTTGTGAAGCTTCAACCGCTCAAATATAGATCATTATAAGGCAAAGTAACAGTTTTTTTTTTTTTACCAATAAATCATCTGTACTGCAACTTAAAAAAAAATATATTCAATGTGTGCTTGTGTACAATCAACTGGATGTACATAAATACTTTTTGATATCTGCTTACACTGACTTGCAACAAACCGTATTTTATATTCATCTGAATACTCGCACATGTGCCCCAAACACTGCAAATATTCATCATTTAGCATGAACTTATAAAAATCACTCAGGCTTTTTATATATACAGTGGGTACGGAAAGTATTCAGACCCCCTTAAATTTTTCACTCTTTGTTATATTGCAGCCATTTGCGAAAATCATTTAAGTTCATTTTTTTTCCTCATTAATGTACACACAGCCAATGTTACTGCCATACTTTCAAACCTTCTCTCAGGTTTGAGAGAACCTTTTCTCTTTTGTTTATTCGTCTAAATATGGATGCTCTAAGTTAGGTAGCTTTTGTTGTCTTCTTTATGCGCGCTAAAGGAGGACAGGTAGCTCCTAATTATTTTCTAGTCGCTGGAGTGCACACTGGTGAATAGAAGGTGTAACAATGAGCAGAGACAAATAATGTTGTTTTTTATTTAGATGATTTGTTATAGTGTTTAAGTGAATATGAATTATGGTTATTAATTTTATTTATGATGTTCTAAATGCGATGTGAATTCATCTGATTTAGGTAGTTAAGTCATTGGAGTGTATTTGTGTGTGGGTGACCCCTTTGTCATTTGTTAATGGTACGGTCCCGGTAATATAAGGGCTGGGTTTTGTTGTTTTGTTTTTTGGGAGAGGGATCCCAACTGTTAACATCTGAGCCCTGGAACTCCAATTTTTCTTTCGTTTATTTGTGCAGTTTTCTTTATTTTCTCTATGTATGGCCAAGTGTATGTTTAAAAAAAAATGGGAAACCTTTAAAGAATTGAACTTTTGCTAATCATGCTTACTGCGTTTATAGGAGGAATCCTGACAAGCTGATTTGAAATTTTGAAAATGCTACTTGAAAGTTTCAACTCTTGCCATTTTTGAAGATGCGAGCATTTTTCAACAATGGTTGAAACTAACATGAATACAAAGATCATATTTCTCACAACTTGGCAGATATGCTTTAAACTAGACTTTCAACAGATTTCCTTTCTATTCATCTTTGACATCCTTCTCACTGACTCGTTTACAAAATCTGTGCAGCAACAGAAGCTATGAGGATTCATTTCCCAAAGATTGTATCAAGATTCAAAAGATTCAAGTGTATTTAGTCATGCAAGAATCAAGTAACTATTCACCGATCTGCCTTGTTTTCAAGAGTCAGATGAAATTACTATTCATTGAATTATAAATAATCACATTTCTCCCCTTCATCTTAGCTCGGAAATACAAGAAACTGATGCGATTACGGGGTCATTCGTCCTCAAGTGAGCAGGCCCCGCCTCTGCCTGATGAGCGCATGTGTTCGCTGGTGCCCAAAGCCATGCCCCAGCTGGTGCCCACCATGCTGTCCCTGCTCAAAGCCATTGAGCCTGAGATCATTTACGCGGGCTACGACAGCACCATCCCAGACACCTCCACCCGCCTCATGACGACGCTTAACCGTCTAGGAGGCCGCCAGGTCGTCTCTGCCGTCAAGTGGGCCAAAGCTCTTCCCGGTGAGTTCTCAATATTAGCTGATATACAGTTAATCATTACACGACCATTTGTTTTGTTTTGAATCATTATTTTCCAATTTATCCCTGTAACACCGTGTCTTAACCGACTGGAACAATATACAAACTGTACCACAGTAGATAATCTCAGATGATTATATGCTTTATTCAAAGTTAAATGTGAGTCAGTCTAATGTGAGTTTGAATATCATTTTTTTGATATTTGTGACCTTATAGCCATACTGAAAGCAACAATAGATTGTTTACATCAGATCTTGAAAATAAATTAAAGCAAAGATATGTTAAATCTGTGAACTCAATGCGAACCAACAAGTGTATTCCATAACAAAGATGGTATCTCAGTATGTACATTTAATAACGTTAAAAAGGTTTAAAGGAGACATATTATGCCCCTTTTTACAATATGTAATATAAGTCTCTGGTGTAAGACTGTTCTTCATATTTTGAACTATGATGCTTTTGTAGGACTCTTGAGATGGTGTTTAAGTGTTAATGTCTGTCACATTAAGGCTTCAGAAACCTGCACCTGGATGACCAGATGACGCTCCTGCAGTGCTCCTGGCTCTTCCTCATGTCCTTCGGCTTGGGCTGGAGATCCTACCAGCAGTGTGACGGAGGCATGCTGTGTTTCGCTCCAGACCTCGTCATCAATGAGTGAGTCCACCTTTACTACCCACGATTGGAATGTTTTGGCTTTCGGTGACAGATGATGTGGTTTTTAAGCTTGTGTCTAGTCGTAGTAAAATGTTGCGTAAACTAAAAGGCAGTCAAATGGGCATTCATTCAAAACCCAAAGTTTCCTTTTCAAAAAATGGAAAACATTTGCTGGATTAGTCTGGTGTGTTGGTGTATCGTCTTTTATTTTACATTGTGTTAATGTTCATTTACATGGTGTGTGATAACATTATAAAACGTTCATTTAAACTAGATGCAAAGTAGATGCAAAAAAAAAAAAAGGCTTTATGTTTAAGTGATATTTAGTATAAGTGAATGCATTATATTGAATATTATAGACATTATATATAACATCCAAATGTATATTTATAATAAATAATAATGAATAATTATATATTTCATTTAATATTATTATATTTCAGTTCAATGTTCAGTATTTATATTATATGTATTATAATATTTGTATATAATATTTAACAAGTGAATTTACAATTTGCATTACTAAAATAGTATTTAAGTTACAACAACTCTTACAATTTTGTATAATATTTACAAATATATTGTACAACTGTACATTGTAAAAGCAATTCAATTATGCATACATTGTTCGGTGGAATATTGTAAGTCTATTACAAATGAATCAGTGCTGCTTTTGTAAATACCTAAGGAATACCAAACAATGGCCAAAATGGCTTTTCACCATTTTTGAAGGAAAAGTTGCGGCTTCTCTGCCGTCTCATGAATTACAGATGTTTTGTATTATTTGGTATTATGTATTACATGCAGTGTTATGTGAGAAATTACCACTTGTGGATGATGGAACAATTAATGCACAACTAGAAAATGTAAATACTACATGCATTTTCAGTCATTTTTGAATTTTGACTGCAGTATAGACCTTGCATTTGTCAGTTTGGAAATTACAACCACATACTCTTTTCTTTCAATATATCATCAATAAATGCTAAACTAAAATGGAAAACGTGACATGGCAAAGTCTTTTTTATAAATTTACATTTATACATTTAATTAAATAGGTAGCTATAATTCATTGTGTTGCACGTTTGCTCGTGCAAATCATGTAAAAACTTCTTTTTTTTTCATCGTCAATAAATAGTTAAAACTGGATAATTTCGTGGGCATGTTGCTGTATGTCCATGTCAACAATAATTTTGTCAGATGTTAAGTTTCTTCTGTCGGCCATGATATATGGCCTGTTTTCTCTCTCTCTCTCTCTCAATTTTTTTTGTGCTGTGAAATGCTTGCAGAATAAGAATGTTTCTCTGTGTGTGTTATAGGGAGAGGATGAAACTACCCTACATGAGTGACCAGTGTAACCAGATGCTGAAGATCTCCAATGAGCTGGTCAGGCTGCAGGTGTCCTACGACGAGTATCTCTGCATGAAAGTGCTCCTGCTCCTCAGCACAGGTAACAGCAGTCAGCACAATTCATAAGCATGTTGCGTACAGGAAGTGTGCATGTACAGTGACCTCAAAAAGCATGTATTTTAAAGGAGACTGCACAAACATTTCACCAAATGAAAATAATAATAATAATAAAAAATAATGGTTTGTTAAGGACCAATTCTCACTATTAACTAGTTGCTTATCAACATGCATATTGGCTGTTTATTAGTATAGGTACTAATACAAAAAGCACATATTAATGCCTTATTCTGCATGACCATATTTTGGATTGCTTAATCCAAGCCCATACCTAACCTTAACACCATACTGTTAATAAACAGCAGATTAGGAGTTTATTGAGGCAAAAAGTATAGTTAATAGTGAGAATTTCACCTTTAAAATATAGTGTGACCAAATAATGTATTTGGACACTTTTTTTGTTATCAGACATTAGTGGAACATGTTCATATGTGATGAACTTCACCTGTTGTTACGTTGCTTGGACATCTGTGTGACCTTGAGGGACACATAAGCATTCCTTAATTTTTTAATATGTGACTTTTGAGTCAAAATACTTTTTGGGGCCGCTGCCCTATGCTGACTTTACATAGTATATCCTTTACTGGCATATCTTGCATACTCACTATGATGTTTGTTAGTGATCTACCTTGGATAAACTCTAGAGATCGAGTTCCAACAGGTTGATTCATAAAAACCCTGTTATTTATTTTTTTCTTTAAATCCCAGAATAATAGAAACGGGAAACCTTGGGATGCACTTTTTGCTTCTTAATAAAATTACTTTTACTAAACCATTGCTTTTTAAGATTTCTTTTTGGCATTTTTGCCTTTTATTTGAGAGGACAGTAGTTAGACAGGAAGCGAAGTTGGAGAGATAGAGGGGGGACAGGATCGGGAAAGGTCTGCAAGCCGGGACTCGAACACGGGACGCCCGAAGTGCAACGGCACTCGCTGCTCACGAGGCTATCGGCGCCGACTACTAAACCATTTCTATATTGTCAATGAAAATGGGTCTTGAGGTCAGGCATTTGTTCCTGCATCATCATCATCTTAAATATCTGACTGTTATCAAGTGCTCTGCATCCCAGAGACTTAAGCTTTGTCCAAATACCCACACTTGCAGTCTTTGCACTTGATCACTTGACTACTTCTATGACGTATTTCCTGTATTTGGCCGAAGTCTTCAAGTGGGTGTGAAAACCACAAGTGTGTGTCGAACTTTTCATTACCTGATGGGACACACTTATAGTGTTGTAAAAATGCAAGTGTTTACACGGCTTTATTTAAATTTTAATTTGAAATACTTTGCATTTTAAAAGCAACTTCTAAATGTCTGTTCAGTAGTCCCTATAACATTACATAATTTTAATTTGTGGTGCTCCTAATTAAATGATAAACAAATGTTGTACAAAATAAATATCACCACAACTCATCTTTGCACCAATAAAAGTAAAAACACTGTTTTTCTACCAAATTATTTGTAATATCTAATTATTATGTTAATATTTAACTTACATTGGAAAGGTTTCCGTGACCTTTTGCGAGATCTTGGCAAAAAGTCTCACGATTTATTTCCAGAACATGATGCATGATGGGATACACTATGCCTCCGGAGTGGTATTCGAGATAGTGTGTGTTAAGGGCACTGCGCTCTGGTATTTTTAAGACCTGGGACAGTCTTGCGCACTTACTTCCTGTCGCGCGCACGCGCTCTCAAGTGGCCAAGACCGCAAGTGTG